TTTTAATTTCTAGAGGGGGGCTGCAAGAAGGGGACTATCTCTTAAGCAGGGTCTGTTGTGATAGGACAAGAAGAAATGGTTTCAAACTAAAAGAAGAAAGATTTAGATTGAGTGTAAGAATCTTAATGATTTTTTTTAAAGAAGGGTGGTGAAGCACAGGCACAGGTTGCCCAGGCTTATGAGGGTGCCCCATCCCTGGGTACCCAGGTCAGACTGGACAGGGCTCTGAGTGTCTGATGGAGCTGTAGGTGTCCCAGTTTATTGCAAAGGATTTGGACTAGATGGCCCTTGAGGGTCCCTTCCAACTCAAATGTTTATGTCATTCTATGACCTCTGTGATGTAGACAAAGAAAGAAGCAGTCAGGTACAGATGCTGGCAGTACGGGGAAATCGCTGAGCTTATTGGAAGACTGGAGACCAGGAAAGGTACCAGTCCTTTGGTATGAATGGGGAGAAAGGGAGTGGGGATGGAAATTAAAGCAATGCAGCAAGCTTGCTGGCAATGGCACAGAGGAGCACAAGGGAGTTGGGGTCTGTGAGTCAGTGGAGGTGCTTCTGGTATGGGATATGGAGGTACTGATGGCTCAGCGGGCATCGTGGGCCATGGAGAAATTCAACTGCTTAATGCCTGGGAATTGCAGGGTTACTCAAGCCTTGGTTTTTGGATATTTCTGGTACACTCTGGCAGGGGTAAGGGTGTTAGTCTTGAGGTGTTGAGGTGGGGAGGAGCAGAAATGTCAGTGGCAGAAGGTGCTGCACATGTCTAGGTTTATCAGTACTGTGGCAGTGCCATGCTCTGGGTTTATTGATCCCAAACCATTGGCACCACAGTGACCCTGGAAGCTAGGGCTGGTCAAGGAGAACAGTGTTGGCCTCTTTGTTGTAAATCATTCGTAAATCATTGCAAATAAGCAGTTAGCCTGCTGCCATCTCCTCTTGCCATCCCTCTCTGTGTCCCCCTCACATAAGAACCTGTTTCTCTTTACCTCTTCCCTCCAGGCCTATCATCTTGATTTTTTTTCTGTGCTGAAAGCCCTGTGGTTTCGCCTGTATTCCAGCTCACTTTTCTGTTACTGCCTTTTAGACTGCTTTGTCCATGGCATTAATCAGTGCATTGTTTATTGGTGATAAACTAATTTACATTAAAAATGATTTACTTGTCTGAGCTTTAGATTCATGCATAAATCTGTTTATTCAAAGCAAAATACAACTGCACCATTGTCATCACATCAATTAATGTGATTAGTTTCTTTCTCTGGAAAAGGCATTCTTAAACCTCTGAGTGCAGCAGGCTGTATTGAACCACAAGGGCTTATTGCTATAGAGATGTGGCCAAAAACATTACTAAAATGGGTCTGCTTCTGAAGGACTTGTTTTGAGTATGGTTTGTACAAACCTCTGGAATGCCATTCTATAGGGTTAATCCAGCTACAGGGAATGATTCCAATGCCATTAGTAAATATGATATGATCATTATGTATGGCTAATCTTTCCTCAGTACAATCATGCTTTTTTAAATCGAGGGCTTGACCCAACTTGTAGTGAAATCAGTGAAAGCATTTCTGTTGGCTTCAGCAGGATTTTGATCAGTTGTTGAACTATTTTGCTATATTAGACAATGCCTCTTATGTTTTCTTCCGTATGAAACTCATATATGCCGCCTCCAGACATAACAAAAAGCACAAACCTCTTGGATGCCCTCTCAATTTATTCAAACTTTGGTTAAAATGCATTTGAACCATTCCTAGGTCCTCTCTGGCTGTAGTAACCCAGGTAGAAGTATCATCAAGTTTTCTTTGCGTGCTCATGAGGACAGTAAGTGAAGCTATCATAGAATAATAGTATCTTTTGAGTTTGAAGGGACCCTTAAGGGCTGGCTCGTGTCCAGCTGCCATCCACTGATACCCATGAGTCCTTTTCAGCAGGGCTGCACTCAGTTCTTGTCAAAAGCTTTAAAGAAATTAAGATAAATCATTAATTTCAGTGCTCTCAGGGTTTGTTATCCCTCTGTAGAAGACCAGATTGATTTACACTGTTTCTTCTTGACAGATAAAAGTTGAGTCTTGGGCCCTCCTTATCACCCAGAGGTGTAGTTAAATTATTTGCTTCAGAAGTTTTTTTTCAGGAGCTGGAGATAAGGTGTCCAGTGCACGGTTTTGCTGCTCTTCTCCCTTTTTAACATTTGTGCTCTGCCAGGTTTACCTGCTTTCTGCAAATTGTGCAGCACCATTACTTTGCAACAGCTGGAGATCCCCAAGCATCGTGGTGTGAAGTTAGTCAGACACAGCCAGCATGCAAACACTGTGTATACTCACACAACTTCATCCTTTGCCAGGCTTTTGCCCTCAAGTCTCATTTGCACTGGTGCCTACACCTGCCACTCCTCACTTGCCTTTTTAATTTTCTTGTTAGGATATTCTATATTTTTAGCATCACGTGTCAGTAGCTGCCTCTCTCTGGGCAATGAATGTTTTCCATACATATATTTAAAGCTCGATTTCTTCTTAACATCATCTCACTTCTGTTGCTGGTTGGACATCTCCGAATCAGCTGATGATGATTAATTTCATCCCAGGATACGTGAAGAACAAGCTAGAGCAATCTCAGGAATGTTACTTTGGGCAAATTGTCCAAAGATAACAAATACTGCAGAAGGAACATGGGGCCTGAGCTAAACAGCTTGACAAGCACAGGTCTGCACAGTGCACCAGCTGCTCTGCTGTGTTCAGTGAGCCTCTGCTGCAGCCACCTCAGCATCGTGTCACAGATTAACTCTGCTCAGAGTTACCCCACACAGTCGGAGAAGCAGGATTTGCTGTTAATCCTGCTAGGGCTGGGGGGGTTCAGGGTGAAGACAAGAGCTACTGGTTTTCCTCTGGAGAGCAGACAGGAGGAGAGAGGGATAGCGTGCTAGCACGCTGTGCACTAATAGGTTATCCATTTGGCTATGCTCATCTTTCTGCCTGATGCTACCTGCCTTTGCAGGCTTGTTTACACACTGGGCTCGAGTACCAACTGCAATTCAAACAAACAGGCTTATGGCATATGCAGCAGGGGATGTGACTTCAGCCAGTTGTGTTGGGAGCCACAGTTTTGGCACATAAGCAGCACGAGAGGGTCCAGAGGCACTACTGCTTCTGTGAGCTATGGGGCTGTTCATGTGCCAGCTCACTGAGCTGTTTTCTGAATTGCAGCTGTTCCAACACCAAGAAAGCACTGCCTGCATTGGGGAGGCAAACTGGAACATGAATGCTGGCCTGGGAGTGTGCTGCAGTGACAACTGATGGTTTTGTGACTAATGTAGAAGGTTGTCCCTGAAAAACAGGACACGGTTGCCAGAACCTGTTTTTTTGGCAGAGCAGCTATTTTTCTAGCTCGTAATGTTGTATTTCTGTGTGTTGAAAAGGGCAGGGGCTGTGTAGAAAAACAAAACAACAACACAGAAAGTGATTGTAATGCACATCCATAATGCAACTAGTGAGTTGCACAAGAAGCTTCTAATGTTTGCCAACTACAGAATGTGAGGATTTGAAGCCTTTGTAAGTCTTTTAGCTTTTGAAAGCTTCTCTGTGAGAAGTTGAAATTCCTGGGCCTATCATAAGTTACTTCAGCATCTTTACCAAAAGACAGAACTCAGACTCTTGGTAGGAACTTATTTTCTTACTGTGGACAATATTGCATCACCAGAGGCAGATAGATATAGCAGATTTTTCACTTTCTCTTGAGATTTTGATTCCAAAAGAATTTAGGAGAAAAAAAAAAAGGGGGGAGGAAAAACTGATCCAAAATGGTGGAGTGCCCAGACAGCTCCTGCAGTGGGGTTCTGAAGATTAATTTCCCATTAATATAGATGGGAACTTTGTCTGGGTAAGGAAAGAAAGACTGAGCTTCCAGGGAGATGTATTTTGTGAGCCTTAGAGCTGTAGTAGCTATAAAGGCGTGTGTTGTATGGAGTTGGAGGTGCTTGGATACACAGTAGGCTGGAAACACAACGTTGGAGTCACTCAGTGCTGAGTTTCCTTTTCTTTCTTTCCTAAAGTCCATCTTGCCACCATGAACCTTTTAAGCAGTCTGAAGTGCTTGCGGAATGATTACCTAATAACTGTATGAAAGAAATAGAGATATATTTTTTGTAATGTTAGTTGGAAAGAAATGACTTGGTTTTCAGGCAGCTCCAATCTGGAAATGGGATCTCTGAGGTGAGCAGTGACATTATCCTGCTGAATCCATCTGTGGTACAGAGGATGAAGGAAAAAAAGAAAGCTTTTCCTGTTTTGGGGCAAAGGTCTATGAAGAAATGGATTTTCTGACCAAAGTCCAGTTACTGGATTTCACAAAACGGAAGGGGAAATTGTGTTAAATGCCCTGTTTACTTCAGGTAGGATTGTTTTGTTTCAAAGAGCAGCACAGTCAATACAAACCATCAAAACCAATCTGCCTGAAGACAGGATGCTGGGAAATTTCACTTGATTCTGGATCATTCTGGATTTCATTCTTTCAGTTAAGTGTGATGGAAACAAATTGGCCCTTTGAAGCCTGGCATTACATGCCCATCAGAATCAGCAAAAATCTGTCTGATGTCACTTAAGTAGATGCACAGGCAATCTTTAGTTTTCAGTGCCAGCAAATGGGAAGAAATGTTATGTGTTTTCTAGCTCGCTGCAAATAGCCTCCTGTGATTACTTATGCAGCAAAAATCAAAGGCACGTTCAGTAACATTTGTGATGGGAAAGACTTGCTTAATTATTAATTATTGATATCATATTAGCACACAGAGGTTTCCATTAGGAAATCTGGGCTTTGCTGTCAAGTTACTGTGAGTGCCCAAAATAAAAAGAAGGCCTTACCCTAACTGACCTTCAGGTAGTTTTACTTGTATCACTGCTGTGCTTTGAAGTCACTGAATTGCAATCGGCAGTAATTGGTTTTTCACTAACATACAGTAATGGAGTAGCACAAGGGTGATGCTGGTCTTTGTTCTGTTCCATTGTTGTAGGGGTTGGTGCTTACAGGACATTGGTAGATTCACCATCTCACCTACCGATGGCATTTGGGACTTCTAAGAACATGAACAGCCCCAAGCTACAAATCAAGATGAGCTCGTGGACACCTCTGAGCAACCCAGCCATGAACGAGCAGGTGAGTTCTGTGCAAATGGGTCAAATTTGTGGGATCACAGAGCTGGTGAGTTTGGAGAGGACTTCTGGTGATTGAGTCCAACTCTTCAAGACAAAGTCAGCTAGAGGGTTCACTCGTGATCTTGTCCAGTCAGGTTTTGAATATTCACAAGCCTTAAAGTAAATTCTGTTTCATTTCACCAATTCTCAAGTCTCAGAAAAAATTGACTTATCCTTTTGGCTGTGTAAATCATGAGTAATGGAATCAGAACTTTAATAACTTGTTTAATATTAGGAATAAATGTATATATATGGAATACATAGTCTTTATGATATATTCACGTGTATAAAACCTACTATGATATGTGAAGTTCTAATGTATATTGCTTAAAGCATATAAGCATGTAGTTGAAGTATTCTTATTTTGACAAGTAAACCATTTTTAAACAAAGAATGTGTATTCATTTTTTAGTGAAAGCCATTCATTTTCTGCCTTAGAAGACTTAGCCCCAGAGCAAACCCAGTGTCAGTGTTTCTGAGTGGCCAGTGCTCCACCACAATTTGCAGGAGAGACCTTGGTACCCACACCCTGACTCCTTTGCTGAGCCTGGCCACGCTGAGATGGGGCTGATATTTTGTTAACTGAAGTGATGCACTCAATTTATAAATAACAAGATGCATTTCCTGGTCTCCCACTCTGCAGACTAAATCTGGGATCTGCTAACGCAAGGAAGGTGTTTTTTTTTATCTCATGCATCATCAGGACAGCATTCCTCCCTCAGAGTTCAGTTAATATATCTGCTGATGATTCATTGAATTTAATCCAGAGTGGGCCATAATGTTACTCAGTGCCACTTCCTGGATTTCTCAGGCCCTCGTTTCACACACCTCTCTGTGTCCTCAGCTCAGTAATTCGAATTTGGCTATGATGTATCTTCCACAAAAGCATATTGATTTCCTTAGGGATTATCAAGAAATGAAAATTTCATCACTTTGCTAACAATTTTTTTCTCTTGGCTAATCCTCTATACCATTAAAAGATTAAACCTTGTCTCTTGTCTCAATACCTCTAGCATTAGCTTCCATCATCTAAATCTTCTTCTGCTAGCTTATTAAACTCTTTTGTAATGAGATTGTGTTGTTTTTTTTTTAAATTGTGGAAGTACTTTTACTCTGCTTCAAGCCAACACTTGATCTTTTTTTTGATAAACTAAACAGATTGAGCCCTTTGAAGTTCTTTCAGTTTGGCAGATTCTCCAGCCTTTGCATCATTTTAATGTCTGCTTCCTACACTCTTTATAACACATTTTTACAGACACACATCACTAGGTAATAAAGTGCAATCTGACTAGCAGTGAGTGAGTAAAAAAAGCCCTTTCTCATCTTTTTACTCCTCCACTCTTTAGGCAATGTGGTGTTGCATTGTGCTGCAGCAAATCTCGTAGGAGCTAATATTGGACTGTTTTGTACTCTTGCCCTTAGAATCATAGAATTGTAGAATCACCAAGGTTGAGAAAGACCTCAAAGATCATCTAGTCCAGCTGTCCACCAGTACTGCCCACTACTCCATGTTCCTAATCACCACATCTGTCCTTTCCTTAAACACCTCCAGGGTGGTGACTCCACGCTGGACAGACTGCTTCAATGCCTCAGCACTCTTTTAGGGCAGAAATGCTTCCTTATATCCAACCTGAACTATCCCTGGTTCAACCTGATGCCATCACTTCTTTTCCCTTTGCAAGTTACCCGAAGAAGAGGCTGAAGCCCATCTCACTACAACCTTCTTTCAGGCAGTTGTAGGGAGTGGTGAGGTCTCTCCTGAGCCTCCTCTTCTCCAAACTGAAAAATGACTATTTCCTCAGCTACTCCCCATAACACTTGTGCTCCTGCTGCATTGCCTCCAGGGCCTCAATGTCTTGTTTTTCTCAGCCAATTGTCAACAGACACCCTCAGATCCTTTTTCTCTGCATAGTCTTCCAGCCACTCTGCCCCAAGCCTGTAGCATTGCCCGGGGTTGTTGTGGCCAAAGTGCAGGACCTGGCACTTGGTCTTGTTGAACTTCATCCCATTGGCCTGAGCCCAGCTATCCAGCCTGTCCTCTGTAGGGCCTTCCTACCCTCAGGCAGATTGATATTTCCTCCAAGCTTGGTATCATTTGCAAACTTACTGAGGGCACACTCAATTCCCTCATCCAAATCATCTTTAAAAATAATGAACAGAACAATTCCCAGTAGTGACCCCAGGAGAGCAGCACTTGTGACCGGCCGCCAGTTGGGTGTCACTCCATTCACCTCCATGCTTCAGGCCCAGCCCTCCAGCCAGTTCCTTACCCAGCAAAGAGTGTACCTGTCCCAGTCATGGGCTGCAGCTTCTCCAGGATAATACTGTGGGAGACAGTGTCAAAGGCTTTGTTGAAGTCTAGGTAGACATCAGCAGTCTTTCTGTCATCCTCCAACATCTTAATGTTGTTGTTCTGGGTAGGAAAGAACCTATCTCCTATCTCCCAGACCTGTGATCAGTGATTAAATTCATTATAAAAATTATTTGCTTCTGATCCAGGTTTGAAACTCTTTCATTTATCCCTACACAGCTCTCAGTGCTGGCTCTGCAGAGTTAGAAGAAAACAAATAGTTGCAACAGAAATATTGCCAACAGGTGAAATTGGGAGATAATCCAATTGATATATATAAGGTGTGAGAAGGTTTTATTTTCCCATCCTATTTTATTTTACCATCCTATCTCTGTTCATTTCTGCACTTTTGAGTGAAGACGAAGTCTGAAAAAGTAAAGAGTTTCTAGAAAGAAGGTATGTGAAAAACAGTGAGAAGATAAAAACAGAGAGAGAAGAGGTGCTGAAGAAAAATACTTCTTAGATGAATTGGCAGTGAGGGGGCAGGAATGGTGAGAATTTAGAGCTGGTCAATAGCATTTAAGCTCCATCTAAACAACTGCTAGGAGCAGGTTCAAAGCAGTTAGTGTAAACTTGCCACCTATCTAATCTGGGTTAATCCAGGGGATGCTGCTTCAGTGGTTCCTGCAGATTTCCCTAGGTTTTCAAATATGCTCAGGAGCACACTTGTCTGCATTGATGTCAGGACCCAAGATGTCTCCTGCTTGCTGTATATCCTGAGTCTTGTTCTCCATCTATATTTTTCTGCCTTCACTGCAGCTATCAGATCTTGCCCATAGCGTTACACTGGGTCATGGGCAGACATCTGTTTTAAATCCACAATCTCCAGCAGGAACAAACCAAAGTAAAGAAGCCAGAATTAGGAATATTAAGCAGTATTCACACTCAGAAAACCAGAGGAGGATCTGCATTTAAGGAAGGACTGGATGTCGAGAGAGTATTTGCCTTCAGTTAGTCAGAATTATGCAGTGGGACAGAAGAGCCTAAGTGGCATTTGCAGCAAAGACTGGAGGGATTTGGCAGACAGCCCTGAGCTTGAGCTTATTTATATCTACCTAAGAACACAGATGTGAGATGGCAGTTCTCAGGAGCAACCTGGGCTTTGAGCTGAATCCTAGGCCAGCCAACCTAGGTAGGAGATAGGTGTAACTTGAGGAGGAAACAGTAAAAATGGATCTGATTGACTCAGCAGATGATTATACCAATCTGGGGCTATTCTATTGCTAATTAATGCTTCCAAGTGCCTGGAGTAGGCAGAACTTTCTAACAGAGTTGGCTTAGTTGTATCTCCAAAAATGCTGAAAGCAAATATGTGTCTTTCTTTGATCAAAGACCATTAAATTGCATTCAGTTACATAAATAGCTCCCTGCCTCACTTGAATTATCCATCTCAAAACTTAGATCTTTGACTATTCATCATTTGCTTGTGGCAAATCCCTTTCCAAGTTCAGCTTGTTCAGCTTTTGTATTTTTTTCACTTTGCCAAGTGTCCTGCATGCAAATAAAGCAAATAATAACTGTCAACATGCAAATAAAAGAAATGTCACTTTTCAGTCCTCACAGGAGACACTCCTGCTGAGAGAGACAGAGCTGATGCTGACAACTGCTGTACCAGACATCAGCACTGTTAATGTCTTTCTCTGCATGAACCTTCTTTGCAGGCTGTCAAAGCAATAACATTTTTGGAGTTTATAATGATCAAACATGTTTTCCTAGTTGTGGTTAATAGCTGTTTTTGTGCACAGTTATAAACTGGGCTTTTTCCTTGATCTGTCTTCTAGAGAAAAAAAAAAAGAAGAAGCAATACATCTGTAGCATTTCCTCACTTGCAAGGTCATAGTCCTGAGCATAAAGGCAGTTTTGTAGTAGTGGAAAGCCACGTGCTAGTGCTTTCATATCTAGCTCCCTAAGGATGAAGGTCAACATCACAAATCCTCTGCTGTATTTTGATACCATTCATCCATCTTGTTAGTTGTCACTGTAAAGAACCTAGGGACAGCATGAGCCACAACAACTGGCCTTAGTAAGCCATAGCCAGAGCTCTATGATAGCTATCCACGTTGTATCCGTTCCATTACCCAGTTTCTCCAACTCAGGAGAACTGAAATCTACTGAAAAAAGTAAATAAAGATCTATGAAGGGCAACACAAGCAACCCAGGAGGTTTCAGGAGTGCTTTGATGACACAGGTCATCAAGGAGCCAACAAGGGAAGATGCTCTGCTGGTCCTCATTCTTATAAACAAGGAAGGATTGGTTGGGGATGTGTCCGATTCTGGACTCCCCATACAAGAAAGACAAAGACTTATTGGAATAAGCCCAGTGAAATATCACAGAAAGGATCAGGAAATCGGAGCATCTGACACATAGGGAAGAGTTGAGAGTTATGGGATTGTTCAGCCTGGAGAAGAAAGGCTCAGATACGGCCTTATGAGTGTATTTGGATACCTGATGGAAGGAGGTAAAGAACACAGAGCCAGACTTTTCTTGGTAGCTTCCAGGGAAATGCCAAGAGACAATGGCCACAAACTGAAAGGCAGGAAATTCCACTGACCATAGGAAAAATCATTTTTACCATGAGAGTGGTCACACACAAGTTACTCAGAGAGACTGCAGGGTTTTCATCTAAGAAGATATTCAAAATCCAGTTGGATGTGGCCCTAAGCAACATACTTTAGCTGACCCTAGCAGGGACTTGGGATTTAACCATTCTCCTTAAGTTCCTTCCAACTTCACCCATTTTGTGATGCTGTTTCTATTTTCCAGGTTTCATAGCTTGTTTGGTTTTTTCAAGCTATGTTTTTTCTTAGCAGATACTGAATCCCCTTACAGTATTCATTTTTAATTGTGTGTGTATTTTTTACAGGTATTTGAAGAAAGAAGAGCCCTGTTCAGAAAATGGGTAAACTTTTCCTTTTATATATATTTAAATACAGTTAAGTTTCTGAACTTATCAAGAGATTACTGTAAGGGGAATGTATAACATCCTACTTTGAAAAAGGGGTTCGTTTTCCTTAAAGATACATGAAAGTGAACTTCAACTTTTGATGAAGGCAAAGGTGCCTTATTTTTGTAAGTTTTGAACTTGGGAAATTACATTCTTTTCTCAAAATTTTCTGTAATAAGGTAAGAAGCCCTCAGAAAACTCTGTGAAGTCTTCAGAGAGGATACTGGGTGTTCAGGTATTGCCTTTGCCTGATAAAAGTCTTTAAAGCTGGTAGTAAATGACACGATATCTGCAAAGAGCACACATAGGGCTCCTGATGCTGCAATCGCTGACCATCTCACAGTATCATGCTATCAATATCTTCATAACTTGTGTATGAGTCAGGAAAGTGCTGTCATCCTATTTTTCGTTAAAAAAATGAGGTATACAGAGACTTAAAACAGAATTTTCTGCCACAGCCAGAGATCACTGTAAGATAGGCATTCAGGATAGGGTTTCTCTGGCCAAGTGTGTATGAGTGAAACAAAGGGATTTCAGCCTGACTGGTTTGGTCATCGTAGGCTCAGTGTACAGTCAACAGAAGGAAAGCAGTGCTTCCAGAGGGTAATTCATCTCACTTAATGTAGGATGAAAGAGCAGCTCTCTAGAGATGCCTGCTTCGGTAGCCTATGAAGGCAGTCATAGCTGGCAGCTGTAAAGGAATGCAACTGTAAGTGACTTACCCTGGAAGCAGATGGCACAGCATGCAATGGCAGAATATCTGCAACACCTGAAATATCACATTGTCCTTACTCTTTTATGAGTAAAAACCTATATAATTGTGGGAAAGTAGCTGTATTCTGCTCGTCTCCTGTGCAAAGAGGAATACAGACTCAGTGATTTTATTGCAGTAAATGAGTGGATGTATTAAAGCAGTGACTGTGTGGCTGAGCCCTCTGCACATCTTTATAAGTGGAACCACAGAACCAGGTACATGGTTACGTATGGTACTCAGGCTAAAATGACATGTAGAAATAATGCTCTTTGAGAAAGGATATTTGCACAATAACTTTGTGTGAACTGTGATGCTTATTCTTTATGCCTAATAGGGCACTTGTGTGAAAGCTTTTTGCATGTAAACTGTTTCTTACAGACAAGCATTTTGATTTTAAGTTCATACAGATTATTCATCTTTATAGGAGATACATTGTCCACACCTTGTTATTTGTGTGCCTTTTGATCACAAGGGTTTTAACAAAAAACCAAGAAAACAAAATAATTGGACGCTTGTTCACCTTTTAAGATGAAAGTCAGTAACTCACAAACTTCACATCTGTTTCTTGCAAACTGATGGGTGTTTTAAAATGCCTATGGTATACATGCTGGTAAAAAATGTTGTTGGAACCTCTATTGAAAGAGCCAAAATCTGGAAATAACCTTCCCTAAACACAACACAAGTGCTGAATCATCTTCTGAAAGGTTAAATACCTGACCCCCATCTGACACTTGGTCAGTACTTCTCACCATGCTCCTTTGGAGTTAATTCTCCTTGTGCTTCTGTCATCCATCATAGCAATGAAAAGGGCGTGGAAAGCACAAAAGCTGTTCTTAGCTCCCTTCAAAGCCTTTGGCATTATGTTGTATGCAAAGCCTAGGGCAGCTTGGGTTCGGGAGAAACTTTATCAAGAAACCACAGTGCTTTGGCAGGACTTTTTACACTGATTCACACAATCCTCTCAGGGTGCACTCAGGAAGTACAGACTAGATGAAACTGCTGGAGATTGGCTTTCTATGGCTGGGAATTCCACATTCAGTGTAGTTACAAATGGCTTGTTATGAAACTGGAGGGCTGAAGTCCATCCTGAGTTCAGCACTGTTCATTTTTGGTTATATCTGGGTGAGGAATGGGAAGTACATACTCATTTACAGATGCCATCAGGCTGGGAGTGATTTCATGAACTTAGAAATGATTAGAAATGAAAATGAAAAGTTCTGCAGTTTGATAGGGACAAATGGAAAGCGTTATGAGTAAGAATGATGTTTATGAAAACTGCAGATACAAGAAAACCAAAGTATGCTGCAACTCTATAAAATATATAGGGAATTATGAATATGACTGTCTTATAATGATAAAATGGGGAAATATCCCAAAGAGCTGTCTGAAAGGCAGAGCCATTGCCAGTGTTGTACCATGCATACTGAGAAAGGTGAGCACCAGGTGGAGGTGCTTCTGAGAATGGCCTCAGGTCCAGGAAACTTGAAAATGGTCTGTTTACTCTAGGGAAGATGGGGAAAAGGTGCAGGTATTGTAAAGGTTATCTTTACAATAACAGATTAAAGCACACGAAAAAGAAGGGAATGATCTCTGTATTCACGTTGGATAGGATAAGAAATAATGGGCTTGTATCTCAATTATGGAGATACAATTGAGACACCAGCAAAATTTAGAGCTAATTCACTGCTGCAATAGCTTGCCTTGGAGGCTAAGGGGTGGAAACCTCCACTGGAGGAGTCTTTTGAGGACAGGTTAGACAAATATTTGTCAGGATTATCTTCCTTGCACTAGGAGCTGAACTAAGAGTTTCTCAACCTTTTTAAGCTAATGTCTCCCAGGCTGTTGTGGTCCTTAAGACTGAGAAGCAATGAACTAGGTGACCCGAAGGGATTTCTTCTCTCTGTTTCTGCATGGCTGAGCAGCCCCAAAGGGTGTAGGACCGGCTGTGCTGTCACCTGCCCTATTGAACAAAAACAGTAGGACCCTCTACAGGATCTTGGCTGTCTCACACTGCACTGAACTCATCAAGGTATAACTGCTGCACAGAGGTGAAGCAGTGGTAGTGCAGCAGATAGGCTGTCCTACATAGCTGTTCCCAGGGCTGAGTATTTGCAGGCTTCGATCTTGCTGGAGGCATTTGTGGTGAATTTCTATCACACTGCTTTACCCAAACGCTTTCCAGATACATACAAAAGATAAACTGCGCTGCTGTCTTTCAGTTGAAATACTTCTGGGAAAGCATTACAATTTCTCAGTTTCTTTTTGTTTTCTTCTAGCTGCTATTCTATATTGCACCTGGGGAAGATGTCCTGATGGACTCCCTCTCAGCTTCCCTTTCTGCTCTGTTCTCAATACTTCAAGCCAATACTTCCTCCCATTAATCTAAGAAACACAACATCATTTTGCTTTACCTTAACACTCGATGCTATTATGCTGACATGCAGGTTAGCAGGTAGACAATGAGGCTAGGGTTGAATTTGTATATTAAGATACCTAAGCTCAAGTGTCTCCATGTGATCAGAGCATCTCAGCTTCTGCTCTAGCCAAATGGGATGTGGACAAATTGGGAAACCCTAACAATGATTCAGCTCACCTCATGGGTTACATCTTGTCAGAGTACTAGTTAATTTGTGGCAAAGAACCACTTGAGAGAAGCAAGGCTCTGGGGAGACCTGAGAGCAGCCTTTCAGTACCTAAAAGGAGCTGTAAGAAAGAAGCGGACAGGCTCTTTAGCAGCAGTGGTGATAGGACCAGAGGAAATGGTTTCAAAATAAAAGAAGGGAGATTTAGGTTTAATATGAGGAGGAGGTCTGTTACAGTAAGGGGTAACGAAGCACTGGCATGGGTTGCCAGAAAGGTGGTGGTGCCCCATCCTTGGACATGCCCATGTCATGCTGGATGGGCTCTGAGCACTGATGGAGCTGTGGGTGTCCCTGTTCAGTGCAGGGAGTGGGACAGGTGGCCTTCAAATGTCCCCTCCAACTCAAACAATTCTATGATTCTATTATGGACACCAGATGCTGCCTCTTTCATCCCTTTCTATTCTAACCCTTGCCTCCAAATAGATCACTGCATTGGAGCTGGAAGAAGGTGGTTGAGGAGACAAAAATTGCTTCTGCTGAGCTGAACCATCCATCTACTTGCAAGTTATTCTGCTTTAATGTGTTCCAGAAGGGCAGTAGTGACTTGGGAGTTCTGTGCTGTGTTTGCAGAGCACAGGGCTGCCTGAGTGTGATTGTAACCCTGTGAACTCACGTCAGTATTCTGAGTTGGAGGCGAGGATTATGTCCCAATTCAGTGGCTGGTTCAAGTCAGTAAAACAACCTGCCTGTTAGAGCAGAGAGGGGCCTCTTTAGGTTAAGTGGCAGAGGTTGTGTTCCTCAGCTCTGAGGTCCTGGGCTCTCCCCTTGGTGTCAGGCTGCATTATTTGTGTGTGTGCACTCGTGGATTAATCGTAAACTGATCGCAGGAGTAGAGGCTGGGCACTGCATTCCCTGGTGACACGGTCGGTAGCCTTATGTCACGCAGTCCCCGGGGAGACATTGTTCTCCAGGACTTGGGGAAAGACACAGAAAAGGAAAAAGTTCCTGGCTGCGGATTGAGAAGGTGCAGTCCCTTGAAAAGGGGAATCCAGTCCGACTGGTTGGATTGCTGTAATCACATGCAAGGGGAGGAACTGTGGAGAAAAGCAGCCAAATGTGGGATGGGGACATGCTTGTTAATACTGGAAAAGAGACAAATTGTGCCTGCTTAAATACTTGGTTGCTGCTGAATGCGGTGGAGAAGAAGCTGTGTGTTCCCATGCTCCTGACAGGGCGACACTGATTTAGTCTCCCATGTGGTGTAAGCTGTAAGCTCGGGCTGAGGATGCTGGAAGGAATTGCTCCATTGCAAAGCAGTGGCAGAATGGGAAGAGCTAAACGGACACAAATATTCTGTGTCTCTGAAAGAGAATCTGTATTTCCTTTGATCAGTTCACTTAATCTCTTGGTGTGGAAGGGAGGAAGCCAGTTACCCCCTTGTCTCTGGAACTTATCCAGGAGAAATTTACCTTTGTTAATAGATGATTGCAGATTGTTTTAATGAGAAAAGGATGTAGCTGTGAACATGAATGAGGAGTCTGTGCAGCAGAAGCTCTTCCTCCTCCGGCACATGACAGAAAAAAACCTTTCACATCAAACTGAAAGTGAGGAAGGCACAGGCAAAACCTCCTCTGTTCCCCTGTGATGCATCTTCACCTGAATTTGTATTCTTAGAGAACACATTCCTAAGTGCTGAATCCAAAGGTCCTGCTTTAGTTATTATTTAGCACTTTGCTAAACTCCATTAGAGGTGAAAGTTATATGCAAAATAGGGAGGGGAGGGAAGGGTGTACTCCTTAATTCGCTGTCTGTTTGCGTATGAAAAGACATGGACATTTGGGAGCTTTCTTCTCTTTGGCTTTTTGCCTGGGTTCTGTGTTCCAACCCTTCTTGTCCTTGCTGACCTACATGAAGGTTTTGTAAAGGTGTCTGCAAGAAGGAGCAGAGCTATTTACTGCTCACAGCTTATTGTCCAGTCCTGGAATTAAATACATCCAGGTAAAAATAAAGAAAGGAACAAAGAATTCTGTAAGGTGAACTGTGAAGAAATTACTTCTCAGTTACTTTTCATCTGCCCAGTGTTGGGTTTGTTATTAGGCGACTAACTGGGGATTCGGGCTGTCACGGTGCAGGCAGCTGGACTGTCTCATGATAAGCACATATGGCAGTCATTCAGCATTGTGGTACGTGCTTGGAACAGTGCGTCCATTGGCCTTGAGGAAGAAACTGGACTCTGGAGGGTATATAAGATACTGTTGAATTTCAATGAACACCGTTTTGCAGCATCCCCATATTGGTGTCTGTGTTGCAATGGCCCTAGCGAGGAGAGATAGCGGGTAGAGCAAGGAGAGATCGCTAGCCCCTGCACTGAGGGATCCTCAAATGGTGGCGTCTGCGGCAGCCCAGTATATTTTAGACCATAGCAATGCTGGTCCTCCAGTTCACCATCAATTTTTGGTGTGGAAGCTGAGAAAAAAAAAAGATTAAATTTGTAATCCATTTTATTCTGAGAAAGAAAGGAAAGGAAGGGAATTGGGCATTGAATCTACCCAGCTCTTCATAAACACGTATATATATGCACATCTATATATGAAGATGCTTATAGATATATATATGAAGAGTTGCATGTTTTTTTTTCTTACTGCTATTTTTGATTTGTGGAGACCATGTTTAAATAAGTTCTTCAAATGCCCCTGGTGTTAAATGCGGAAATAACTGTGCTGTGATTTGGAGAGCAAGTTGTCAGCTGTGGAAAGCTGACTTCAGGAAACAGAAAGAGGAACGTGTGTTGAAGGCACGGCCAGTGCGTGAGAAAGAAAGAAGCAAGGGAAGGCAGCATTCTCCAGACAGGCCTGGCTCTTTAGGAACTTGCCCTTTGTAAGGAAGGGGAGTTTGGGTCACAAGGAATCTGCACTCTGCCTCTGGAAGTCCACCCTTCTCTGTACCATTCTGCCGCCAGCGGTTCCCACTGGGGATTCCTGTTGGCGCTGACTACACGGTCCTCTGCCACGTCCTCCCTGCTGGCACTCCGTGCTGCCCTCGCAGCCAGGACTGCTCCTGCAGGTTTTGAGACAGATTGCACAGATTGTGGCGATGAGGTCAGTCTCCTCCCAGGAGATTCCTGCTGACAGGGCCCTTTCCATCCCCTGCTGTCAACACAGGCTAAACACCAGGTACGGCTGCCGTTGCTCCCACCCTGTTTACACAGCTCTGCTCCTCTCTGCTCAGTGCCGTTGTTGCTGCTGTATCAAGCGATACGTGCTTGTGTGGTTATGTGCTCATTTCTTCCCACAGTGAGGTCCAGCTGTTTTCCTCCTCCTCTTTAGATATCTGTCATAAGCGCAGAAATGCCATGAAAAATCTCTTACTGTGCTGCCAGGTCTGTGTCACGTTTTCCTTGGGAGATGCAGGCAACTGATGTAGTTTCTCTTTGCTCTGCTTCTTTGCAGGCAGTGGGGATTTCTCTCTTATGCAGACTGTGGGAATAAATACTTCACAAATTGCGAGGCACTCAAATACTGCAGTTTTGGGGGCCATACATGGGTCAGGATAGGTGAGGAAGCAGCAGTCAACTTAGGACCCAATCCTGCAAACACATGCCTGAGTCTCCTTCTTTTAATGACTGAAGCCAAGTTTTCCAAACTGATCCTAGGTGTTAAGAGTCTTGTGAGGATGACTGTGTCCTGGACAAGGTCATCCTGGATCCTTTGAGGATTATAAATCATACGTTATGTGGCTTCTGAGTTTCTTTTAATGTAGCCTCTCCATTTGTTCCCAGCTCCTACATGCTTTGCTATTGAGTGAGTCACCAAAAGCTGCTGTTTGGACACCTTCCCTTGCCTTACATGTATGATTTATTTTAACAAGCTGGATCTCCGGTTTCTCACAACCTGGAACTCTTTTTTCAGTTTATCAAGTGGACAGATGCTCAGAGACAGAAGATCCTGGTGGATCAGTTGGAGCTCTGCTCCCTGTCCCTGAAGAAATTCTGTGCCCAGAAGCTACAAGATCGAATTCCTATCGAAGCTCTAGATTTTACCGTGAAGCTTCCTAGAGTTCTGTCCCTGTACATCTTCTCCTTTCTGGACCCACGGAGTCTTTGTCGATGTGCGCAGGTAAAAAAAAAAACAACACATGCTAAGATTCAGAAAGTCAGGTCAAAAAAGATAAAACAAGAAACAGAACCAGGTTCCAATAAAGCTGTAGGAACGCAAGAATGCCTTGTGACCTGGCACCCTGGTGCTGTATGCTTAGTGACACTCGTACGAGATAGAACACAGCACTTCCCCAGATCCTAAAATAAATCAAATTGGCCAATGTTTATGAAAGTGAAGACTAATTTTGGGAGCTCAACGCTAAGCCATTTAATATGTGGCACTTTACAAGGCTGATTGTTCTCAAGAAGGCCTGGCGCTTTTGCACAATGTACAGAATCATTAATTGTTTGAAGAAGCCCATGGTGGTTGTAAAGAAGTGCATACACTGCTTTAAGAAAATAGCAAAAACCAGATCCATTAAAATACTTGAAGGTGAAGTGCTGGATGTGCAGAAGCAGAGAAGTTATCAAGGTGCTTTTGAGCACACTGTCTAAGGATTCCATCTGCTAATGTGTTCCCCAAGCTAGTTCTGAATGAATAAGCTCAAATATGGGTGACATGATTACTGCACTAACAAACATAGTACACCATATATTACTACTAATACATATACATCAAAATCTCAGCTTTCTCTAGTATTTCTCTCCAACAATTCTTTTTTTATGAAGATGAACCACAGGTATTCATGCACAGACAGGGAGAAAATAGATTAGGGTATGAGAAAGGAAGGTCCTTACAGTGCTACTTCTGTCATGTCATTGAATATTTGCTGTTATAAGCACAATTGTGCAAATAGATGATGCTTGCCCTTAGGCTAGAAGAAGTATTGCATGCAAGGTGACTGTGCAATGGAGTATAAAAGCAGAACCTGAGTAGGGAGAAAACTGAATGTGTCTATCAGACCTGGGGGGGTTATTTTTCTGTTTTTGTCAGCAAAATGCAATGAAGGGTTTGTTCCAACTCCTATGCACTTACTGGGTAGAAATGCAGGAAGTTGCCCTAAGTGAGCTGAAGTCTTTCCTTTTGACTAGTGATTTTCAGAGCATTTCGCCCTGCACTGGAGATCAGCCAACAAACAATGAGCAGATCATGAGGAAATCTGGGTTTACATGGAGTTCAAACAGCACTGAAGTACAGTGTTAGTTTAAGGAGCTGCATCCAGGGGAGATAAATCTCCAGCTGTAATCTGAGATGTCTGAAACCCCAAGATGTTGATCTACTCTTATATGTGGTTACTGGTCATCCACAGGTGAGCTGGCACTGGAAGAACCTGTCTGAACTGGATCAGCTCTGGATGAAGAAATGCTTGCATTTTGGTTGGTACATCAACTTCATTCCAACCCCCTTTGAGCAAGGAATCTGGAAGAGACATTACATTGAAATGGTGAAAGAGCTGCGTGTTACAAGACCAAAGGTATATGCTTACCACCTCTGGAGGTGTTCCACGCCAGTTATAATACTCTAGGCTAATAGAGTTGCTAACTTTTAAACTTACTACCTTCTCCCACTAGTAAGAAGGAACATACATAATTTTAAATTAGAATCTAAACTCATGTGTTGCCATGTGGTCTGCCTTCTCTCATCCACCCCTGGTAAGGATGAGGGGGAACGAAAATCTCAGAAGTTAGGAAGGAAGCAGTCACCAAGGTCTCCCTCTCCTCCTGTCCTCTCTTCAGATTATTCTGAAGTAATCCTCCAAATTTCTCTTTCCAGCACTCCAGGCTTTTTCCCTCTCTTCTCCAGGTTGCAGGGAATGTGATAGCCTACCTCAATCTGATAAGCAGGAGTGGGAAGCCCAGCATCGCCCCTGCTGAAGTTTCAGAGTCAGTCTAGCTGGTGGAAAGCTAAAAAACCCCACATGTTCTGCCTGTTATAGGCTCCGTGTTGTCTCATCCTGTCTTCTTCAAAGGTGGCAGGGTCATTTTGGGGAAGTGGAGCATTACTCAGTAGCAACTGTTTTCTCTTGAGATTCATTGATCCAGACCCCTTGTTTGTGGGACTGTGAAGGCAGGAATCTTCTGCCTTCTATTCAAAAACTCAGACCTCTAGCCAACTCCCTCGTAGGCTGTCTCTGAGGTCAGTGGATGAAGCCAATGCAACTCAGCCCATCTAAGTGCAGTGGGCACTGGGACGTGCACTGCTAGGGTGCCTATTTCTGTCCAGTGAATTAATACCTAGTTCTTACAAATCTGAGGTCAGGTAAAATTAATCACATTTTCACTGAAGGATAAAATGAATTTTCTTCTTTTAATGTCTCTCATTAGACTGCTTCGAAGGATGAGTCCATAGTTCCTGAAGTACAGAAAGTGAGAAGTAACACTCCAGAAGGAAAACGTTCTGCACCAGAAAAGAAGACTAGAAAGAAGAAAAAAGAAATTCCACCCTGGCGTTCACCAGACAAGTGCCCAACAGACACCATGCAATTCAACTGCCTGAACAACTATGATCCCATCGAACAGGCCAGGCAGGCGTAAGAGGCTTTGTCTCTGCCTTTTGCTTTTTCTGTGCTAATTGAGTATGTCTGTGTCCTTTGCAGGTTCCCTCTGCCTGTGCTTCATGCTGCCTGGAAACCTTGTAGCTCTCCAGCTTGGCTGCAAACCCAAGCTAACACACTGTTCTGCCTTTCTGCCTTTTCTCGTATTGCTCTTGATCTTCTTCTGGTTGCAGCTTCACTGCTTTGTGTCCTTTCAGCACTGTGCATTGGTAGATCTTGTTAGTGTCTGCCTGTAAAACAGGCTGTAGCTCCTGGAGAGGTTACACAGTTGTAAGGGGAAGAATTAGATCAAGAGATTGTTCAAGATTTTTTTTAATAGGCTTGTAGTTTTCTAAGCTACAAAGTTGAGAGGAATATGCAATTTCTGCACAAAAGAAAAATGAATGATGATATACAATTCTATCAGTTCAAGGATATTCTGGCTGAAAAGAGATTTAGATGTTCAAATGACAGTGCAGGTATTAGAGCATGTATGTGTGTATATGTTCCACATGATATACAAGTAAGAGTAGGATTTGTGTCTACGCTAGCTGGGATGGAGTGCTTAGATCCATCAGTTCGTAGGCTCCCAGAATTACCTGGTCAACAGCTGACAAAAGAAAGTATTTCTGCAACCCAGAGCAAAGTCTTGCACATTGACTTCTTTCCTTTGGCATATCTGGCATAAGGTATTCTCAGAATCTCAGGATTGTGGTTAGATTTCGGCAAGCACAAGCAAATGAGGCACAATAGCAAGGAGAGCACAATAGCAAGGAGGCTGTGGTAGTAGTGCAAAGGAGTTTGTCCATTTCTCATTTAAGGCTCTGCCACCTCTCTTTTTTTTTCATGGACACGCTCTCAGCAGTTGCCTCCATTCAGCTGATGTGCAGTAACTTGTGAAACTGTGGTAACATTATCATTAGTCTGAGCCTGGTGTAGACGTAGTGGATTAACTTGACCATTGCCTCCTTCGTATGTGAGTCCCTGTAAAAAGGACTGCGCATTCTCACCCAACCAAAAACGCACAGAGGAGGATATTCCTCTTCCCCGTGCCAACAAAAGCCTTGGGAACCACCTAATCCACAATGAATGTATCCAGGTCGTACATTAAGTAAATAACTGATATTGCTGAGATGAGCACTATGCACAGGAACAATCAAGCCACAAATTACCCCAGCCTAGTGATTATTTGGCTAAGCAGAAGTGCACTTGCAGAGGTTCTTTCTCAATGTGATTAACTTTGCTGGACCCACCGCTCCTCCGGGGTGTTCCACAAAGTTCCCAGTGTGTGAGCAAAAGCCTTTTATGAATCATTTTTTAATCCGCGTCCCCTAGTCCTGGGATACTGCACTACTTCAAAGAGCATTCCAGCTTTCACCTCACCCTCTTTCTGCGGTATGTTTCCAAACTCTAGCATTTTAGGTAAAGTTCTCTGATGCTTTTAACAAAATATTTTGACAGAATGCCTCTTGTTGAAATAGTTGCTCCAATATTATTTGTCAGCTGTGAAGCCTTCCTATGTAGCCTGTTCCAGAGACTTATGTGAGGTTTAGGGTTCCCATGTGCTGGTCATGAGTCAGTGTCAAAAATGGGACAGGCCCTGTTCAAAGAGTTTGGAAGTTGCTTGTTCCAGCACTGAGCTGTAGATGCAGCTGACAACCAGATGCAAATGATTCTGAGTTGCTAATCATACAGTATACTGACTGTTTTCTTCTCCTAAGTAAGATTTGAGCCTCTATCCATTTGTGCAATGGAGGATATTTTAATGCCTAGTGATCTAGCAAATCTGGCTTTTATCCGTAATTACAGAGGATTATAGCAAGGAGAAAAATGAATTCTAAGAGATTTACTTGTTTATCAAGGATCTCCCTTTAATATCACTTAAGCTGAAAGTAATTGCTAGTGTGTAGTCTTGCCTGTAATGACTCTTATTTAGCAATACAGGTGTGTTGTTTCAAGTGCTGACCCAGCTACCTGCTCATGTAATGGTGTTTCTGTAGACAGCGTCCCCTCTGCAGCCCCTTTCCATCCTCCATCCTTTCAGCTGCATGGGGACCTGGTCTCCTGCACCTCACCTGCTCCTTGTCTGCAGCAGGACTGGTGGGACACCCCATTCCAGGCTTGTGTTTTCCTCCCATGGCAGCAGCAATGACAGCAAGCAGGCAGCTTGGTAAGAGATCCAAGTGGCCACAGAATGGTAAAGTGCTCAGAGCCCTTCTGTAATGCCAAGCTTTGTTTTGTTCTGCTGATGAAGGTTGCACTCAGTGAGTATCTAGTCAGCTGAGCAAGGAAAGGTAATGTGAGTGCTATGCAAGCTGATCCATCATACTGCAGCCTACAGGCTGAGGCAGACCCTGCCTGACCAGTGTACAGGGTTGTAAAGTAGAACAGAGAAATGAGATAAAGATCTCTGACCCCCTAGGCTGTGTTAGGTATAGTTATTTCTCAGATTAGATGAATGCTTGGAGCTCAAGAGCGTAACATCCACTCTTTGTGCAGACTATATGTCAGAAGCAATGAAATCTATGTAAAATGAGATTCCTAAAACAATGGGAGTGATTTCCTAAAATATAGGGTTTTGCAGTGGTAGTCTGGGAGAGGTAATGAGTTTTGCTGCAGTCTGAATGCATGTAGGGAGGGGCAAATATTTTCTTGGGGCAGGTTATAAGCATGGGTGAAAAGGTGCAGCAGAGCTAGCAGAAACAGCCCAAGTGATGGTTGAGAACAAATAAACCATTCTTTCCATCTGTCTGCTGCTGTGTTGAGAAAAACAGAACTTATAGAAAATTCTTTGTGAACAAACAAGATTACATCAAAGGAATACCTGACACCATCATCAAAGAGGTGTGTGAGACTAGTCACTGGCTACTTCTTTGAATCAAAGTCAATCTGCCTAATGCTGGGTTAAATCTTGCAGAATTTAAGAGGTAACAAAAAAAGTAAAGATTTTCCTAGCTCCTGGAACTGACTGAAAATCTTCTCTATGCTCGCTTTCTGGTCCAAAAAGAAGAGAGAACTCTCCTGGGCATTGTAACAGGGTGTCAACTCTGAAGCCAAAATATTGTCATTTAAATGGTGGAGTCATCCTCTGTTTCTTTGTTGGTTGTTGCAGAGGAACCCTTAGCTCCAACTCCCTTCCTCCATTTTACCTCCACACCACTGTCTACTCAGAGCAGAGAATTCCTTGCTTAGCCAAAAACTGAGCATGGAAGTGCGACAAGCAGCAGCCAATTCTCACTTATGCAGGAGAGTGGAGTCAAAGGGAGTCATAAAATCATAGAATCATAGAATAGTTTGTGTTGGACGGGATCTTTAAGGTCACGTAGTGCCAACCCCCTGCTATAACCAGGGACACCTCCCTCTAGCTCAGGTTGCCCACAGCCCCATCCAGCCTGGCCTGGAATGCTTCCATGCAGGGGCATCCGCAGCCTCTCTGGGCAACCTGTTCAGTGTCTCACCACCCTCACAGTAAAGAATTGCTTCCCAATATCTAGTCTAAATCAACACTCTTAGACTAAGAGTCCTAAGAGATGTAAAACAAAACACGTACTTTGGCCTATGAGACCATAATTGGGTATTTAGTTTTGAAGAAGTAAATAAACACATTTCTGTAGAACAATTTGGTAGGTGTTTTGCCTGGTCAGGGCTGGTGCTTCATGTCAATGGGAAGAAGAATTATAACACTGGGCCACTGCCAGATAGTGCTTGAAAGATGGTAAAATGAGGTTAATTTGCAATCTGGATGATAATTGAGTCTTGACAGGTTTGTTTTGGTTTGTTTTTGTCTTTTTTTCTGATGCTTTGATTTTTTTTACTGCTTGCTCAGGAAAGCATCAGAAATGGTACCTGAGAACCTCATTGACAAATATCCCTGCAGCTTTAGAGGAGCTGGGAATCCTGGAGTATGATCAGTACACGTTTCTTGGTTCAGATGGGCAAGTGTGGGAAAAGCTCAGTCTCTGAGCAGTGAAATCAACAGCAGTGATGAGCAGATGCGTGGTCGAGGGAGTGACGAGGAGATAGAGGAGATACAGACAGGGGTAGAGTTACAAATTGCCTGGAGGCCTTATCAAGATCACTTGCTAGAGTTATAGTGGTGGCTTTCAGTGCTGCTGCACGTCTGTGAGCAATATATCACAAGGCTGATTTCTGTTGGGTCTGTTTTCTGCCTGAATTATCCAGACAGTTTTTTTCATTGTGTGCAAACAGAGACCAGCAACGGATTTGTCTCTTTGGGAACACGAAGCAATACCCCAAAGGTGAAATGAAGCATTTTCATCTAAAGCTTGGGACCACAGTAGCAAATTTTCCCTGGGATTCTGAGCAGGAGAGGCGTTCCTTTCCAGCTGTGCACATCCAGTCCTGCTGGAAGGCATCTGGTGATGGTGCTGCTCGGTGCCAGTAAATCAAAAGATCTGCCTCCCACTTTATCATGACTAATGAATCCTGATTCTAGCTGAGCACTGGACCCCTGCCAAGGCTGTGTGCTTGTGCCTCGAGAAAGAGCCCTGCTCCTTCTCATGACAGCAGCTCAGCCAAAATGAAAGCTCCTTCCCCCAGCCAGCCCTGCCTTCTAGCGCTAATTCACTTAGATAATTTATGGACATGGGCAGGCTCTAAAAACAGTTGCATATTGTGCTGAAATGTTTACCCAATGAGAAAATGATTACTTTCAGTAATTGTTCTGTCAGCAGCCTAGGCCCAGTTTCTGACAAAACGGGGCTGGGCTGTGTGAGAAGGGCATGATGTTTCGCTCGTCCTCTGCATCCCAACACCTGTGTCTTGCTTTTCACGTTTCTGAATAGCCAGCCCCATACTCCCTGCCTGTGGGACTCGTGGGAATTTAAAACACTCCTTGGGAGAGAAAAGCAGGGTGGGAAGCACTGAGTTCAGCACTGGAGCAAGAGCTGCCTTGCCCTACTCGGCTGTGATGCCATCTTCCTTTGCAGTGTCTTCCATCCTCACCACTCATTGTCCTGACTGTGGGCTGAGATCACGCCCTGCTACAGGGGGATGCTCTGACCCCAGGAGCATGGACTTTAGAATACGGCAGTAGAATTTAAACTCTTAATTTGAGACCATAAACCAAGGTTTGACAGGATATTGGTATTTTCTCCCTGCATAAGTGGATCAGTGTGTTTGTTTTCTGAGTGGATGGGCTTATTCCAGTGCTGCCACTGGACTATCAGGAATGGAGTCAGAGCCACTCCTTATACTCTTACAACACTCTCAGCTGTAACAACGAGTGGAGAGCCTTCCCTATGCTGATTCTTTTTGGCAGAAGACTGCCTTCTTATCTAAAGATGACCACATTGTTCCCTGTAGTATTTAGGCTTGAATTCTCTCTCTCTGATGTTAGTGTTTACAAAGAGATTGCAATTTTCCTCAATTTGCTATTTGAAATAATTTGTGTGATTTGTCTTGATGGTTTTTGATCTGCAGCTGGTCTGGGACTAGTGAATAACAGACTGCTGCTGGCTGCTTGTGAGGATGTGCACGTTATGCAGTGCAGGGTTGCTTTCAAGGTTTGCTTCCACCCAGTGAATTCGTGACTTCATGTTCACTATTTGATTTTTAGCATGCTTTCCAGGAGCCCAGACATGCTGGTGGTGGAGCTGGGAGGTGAACCCACAGAGCACAAACTAGTAGCTGCTTTAAATTTACTAAACCTGTAAACTTAGCTGTGATTTGCAGAATGTGAATGTGGAAGGGGAATGAATACTTTCAGACCAAATGTGTTTGTGAACCTGTCCAAATTCCTAAAAAAACCTTCTTATAGTACTCATTTTAATCCTGATACTGGAGTATTATGACAGTTGGCCATATTCACTTAATTTTCACTCTCTAGAACATGCCTGTTCTGTTTGCTATCATATTAACTTTAATTATAGCTGCAAATAAAATCATTTACATTCATAAGAAAGTCTACTTGGCTATAGTAAAGACGAATAACTTGTTTAAAGGCAAGTCCTCTAACCCTGTTTATGTTGCAAGTTACATGGACTAAATTAAAAATTCAAACATTATTTAGCTAAATTTCCCTTTCTGTGAATTCCCTTGTGTGTTTACCCAGTGATGTGTTCATATATCCATAAGTGTCAAGGCAAGTACATGCATTTGAATGCTATGAAGTTATCAAAATTTAAAAAATAGCAAGCTGCTCTGAGCCACAGAACTGACTGTGCACTCTTGGTCTGCCCCAGGTACAAGATAAAACGTATGAGCTCAAACCATGTCTTTTCGGGTGGCTTATCATAAGGAATTTTCTTCTTCTCCACCCCAGGGAACAAACTCCATAGCATTTGTTAATACTATTCTGTTCTACTCTGCAGGAGAAAGAAAGGAGGAGGGGAGACCCCAGACCTTAGCCGGCAAGCAGCTGGGAAAAAAAAGAAAGCAGTTTGTGGATCTAGGAAACTCCAGAAATCAACATCACTGGTGAGTATCACTGGGTTGTAATTAGATTAGTCTGTTGTCAGTTACACCCAGGAATATTTTAGCTGAGAGCACTTACTTAACTTAGGCAACAGTGAAACTTTGCTCCTGACTACAAGCAGACTGCCAGGCACTCGTGCTGCCTGTCTGGCTGGTAGCAATAAGGCCATAAGGAGGAGCAAATCATGCCCCATCTGCCTGCTCCAGGGGCAGTTTCTCGTTGCAGCCTAGACACAGCCCACCTGCAGTGGGAAAAAAGGGCAGCAACTGTCTGTGTGTAGACACTGATCCTGTTATCTGCTCCTTCCTCACTTTGTGTACTCCATGGTATCCTGACAGCCAGTTTCCACTGGATCAGTTCTCTCATGACATTTGCATCTTTCCCCAAAGCCGCTCTTCCATTTCCACAACTTCTGATTATTGCAGTTTGAAGCTCTTTTATTACTTTGTTCATTGCACTGTGCCTGGGCAAGCAGCCCTAAGGTCTTAATACTGAGGATTCATTGTGCTTATCGCTGGTAAAATAGGGCATCCTCACATGAAAGGAGTCTTGGGAAGTCAGGCTTCCAGAAAGCATCATGGGTTTAGCTTTTGTAGATAGGGTAGCAAATAACTGCCAAAGAAAGATGTGCTTGCAAGCGTATCAGGGCTTTTCGCAAACCTGGAAGCGTGTTTCCCAAGCAATGAAAGCCAGGGAACAGCATGTGAGTTGAGCCAAAGAAGGTTTACATAAAAAAGAAGCATTGTCTCTGGAGATTGAGAGGTATTCTTCTGACCCATATATAGCCTCTTTGAAAGGAAATAGATTCAGTCAGTGTTAAAGAACAGAAATATTATTAAAGTTATTCAACGTGTGTCTTAAAATTTCCATTCTTCAAAGGCTTCCTCTGTAGCCTTTAGATCAGAGAGACTTTACAGTTTCATTCCTCCATGGCTTCTCATTTCATATTTAAAGCTGTTTTATTGTCAGTACAGAAGTGAAAGAATTTTAGTTCAGGCTAGAAAGAGGGGGCTGATTTTTTTCTTTCCCTAGGGTTTAGGAACTTGTTTAAAGTTATTTAACCTGCAGCCCACAACTAGAAGGTGGAAACACCTAGTCGGAGTCCCAGTGTGAATCCCAAACCCTCTTTTATAAATTCAGCATCAGTTTTTGCTATAAATTGCAGCAGTACAAGGTCAAGTTGTATTTATGCCTGTGTCACTTTCTGTTGGCTGCTCATAGGATCATAGAATTATAGAATCAACAAGGTTGGAAGAGACCCACAGCCCAACCATCCACTGATCACCAATACTTCTCACTAAACCATGTCCCTCAACACCCCCAGGGTCGGTGACTCTTCCATCTCCCTGGGCAGCCCATTCCAGTACCTGGCCACTCTTTCAGAAAAGTAGTCTTTCCTAACGTCCAGCCTAAATCTCTCCTGGAGCAGCTTGAAGCCATTCCCTCTAGTTCTATCACTAGTCACACGAAAGAAGAGGCCGACCCCCAGCTTACTACAACCTCCCTTCAGGTAGTTATAGAGAGCAGTGAGGTCTCTCCTGAGCCTCCTCTTCTCCAGGCTGAACATTCCCAGCTCCTTCAGCCTCTCCTCATATGGCCTGTGTTCCAGACCCCTCACCAGTCTTGTCACCCTCTCCAAGGCCTCAATATCTTTCTTGCAGTGAGGGGCCCAGAACTGGACACGCTACTCCAGCTGCAGCCTCACCAGAGCTGAGTACAGGGGGACAATCACTGCCCTGTTCCTGCTGGCAGCACCTTTTCTGTGCAAGCCAAGATGCCATTGGCCTTCCTGGCCACCTGGGCACAGTGCTGGCTCACCTTCAGCTGAGCATCAGTCAATACCCCCAGGTCCATTTCCTCTACACAGTCTTCCAGCCACTCTGCCCCAAGCCTGTAGCTTTGCCTGGGGTTGTTGTGGCCAAAGTGCAGGACCCAGCATTTGGCCTTGTTGAACCTCATCCCATTGGCTTCAGCCCAGCCATCCAGCCTGTCCAGATCCCTTTGTAGGGCCTCGCTACTCCAGGCAGATCCACACTTCCAGCCAACTTGGTGTCATCCACAAACTTGCTGAGGGTGCACTCAGTGCCCTCATCCAGGACATCAGTACAGATACTGAAGAGGACAGGCCAGCACCGACCCCTGGGGAACACCGCTCACGACCGGTGGCCAGCTGCATTTGGCTCCATTCACCACCACTCTCTGTGCCCGGCCCTCCAGCCAGCTCCTTACCCAGCCAAGAGTGCACCTGTCCAAGCCTCGGGCTGCCAGCTTCTGCAGGAGAATAAGGTGGGAGACAGTGTCAAAGGCCTTGCTCAAGCCTAGGCAGACCACATCAACAGCCTTTCCCCCGTCTACCAGACGGGTCAGAAGATCATAGAAGGAGATCAGGTTGGTCAAGCAGGACCTGCCTTTTGTGAACCCATGCTGGCTGGCCCTGATACCCCAGTAGCTTTAGAGACATTATTTTTTCCATAGCAAATAGTCAACAGGAAGCATTTAGCTGACACTAAATGGGGATGTTAAATTCTCTGCCCACAAAAAGCTCTGAGGAGATTCTTAAAGCCGCTGGCCTGCCAGGTCCACCATCCTCCCTCGGTGCCTCATAGGCAGTTAGGACAGCCTGACCCAGGGGTAAGCACCCTACAGCTCTAGTGGTCACAGCTCTGTGACATTAGCCCAGAACAGAACTTTGTGTGTTCGTGTTATGCAATCTTGGTAGCACTATCTTCTTTTTGTGTTAAAATCTGGGCAGTCCATGCTGTGTCCCTCTTTCCTAGACCTTTACATTGAAAATTGACTTGTATTTCTCTCGAGCAGTACAAATTTCAGTAGAAGAGCTGTGTTTCCTGTCCTCTTTTGGTAGTGCAGTGTATAATCCTGCTGTTTCACTGACCATTAATGACTACAGAGCTACGTGACAACAAAAGTTAGGTTATAATGGGCTAATGCATAGAAAAAAGAATATATAGCTAACTAGGAATCATCTAGAATTAATTTCCATTTCTTATTAAGGAAATCTTGTTGAAATTAAGACCTGTGAAAAGACTCTTACTTAATCAATTCCAAATAAAGAAGCTTAATATTCAAACCTTTTAGTAAATCCTCAGAAGAAGGACAGAATATGATGAAAGAATAAATGCCCCAAGCATGCAAACATCAAGTCAAATTAAAGTGAAGCTCTTAAATAGATCAATGATTCAAGTGTAGAAAGCAGATGAGAATAAAGTATATTACAGCCAACAATGAAGATGTGAAAAGGGCCATTATACAGAGCTCTGAGCTCAGGAGGCTGAACAGCAACACAGCAAAACAGAAGGAACATGTAATTAAAGTGATGACCTGAATCCACAGGCTCCAGCTCTGCATAGGGTGAATCAGGTCTCCTCCTCGTAAACTTGTGGTGTTTTGGAGTTTATTAGTAATCATGGAAATAGTAGCATAGAATGTGACCAGGCTTACACTTAATTTACAATAAATTAAAGTGAATTATCTAAATTACTTTAAATAATGTGTTACAATAAATTAACTTAATTAGGTCTCTGAACTAAGGGCTGCTTTCCTTCTTATGAGTATGCATGCAACCACTGTATCTCCACAGTGGGATGGGAATGCCTGCTCTATCTTTATGGAGGGAAATGCCTGACACTAAAGACAAGTAGAGTTTCACTGTTAATCATCTCTTTCAGCACTTTGCTGGATCAAGGCTTTGTGGCTTGCCTACACCACCTTGAGCAGCTACTGCCCAGTATTATACAAAGCAAAGTGAAGAAAGGCTCACTGACTCAGCTGAGCTTTTAGCAGGCTGGGCATGGAAACCAGATCCCCTTGTTTTGGGCCACTGTTTCATCTCTCCTGTTCTTTCTGATATGGAGCTGTGCTGCCCTGCTGTGAGTCCCCAGCTCTGACCCTACAGGTCCCCTCACAGGTGACAGTGCAGCCACATCAGTGTCCTTTACACAGAGAGGGGCTCTTCCTTGGAGGACTTCCAATAAGGAGTTTTGTGCAGCTTTCAGCAAAACAGGAAGCATCATGCCAAATCCTCCCTAGATGTCAAAAAGCAGAAATACTTTATTAGAAAGGTAAAAATCCATCACATTGATGCTTTTGACAGCTTTGCAAATGACTGCGATGTCAGCAATTAGAGGCTGGTTTTGCCTTTCAGGCTGCCTTCTCATTTCTGTTTGGGAGGCTGCTCCACCCTCCCAGCTGTTCTTGAATTAGTGACTTATTTTTAGTGCTTACAAAATAACATCTTTTTGACAGGATCAGTCATTCTTGCCTCACTGCCCAAGGTGGTAAGATTGCAGCATCTGAAGTCAGGAATAAATTATCTGATGACAGATACACAGGGAATTGGTGTTTGGAGAATGGATCACATGTGTATCCTATGTGGGTATATCACACATGAAGATCCAGGGCTCTTGGCTCTGTGACACAGTCCTGTCCAGGGTGTATTTACGTCACCTATATTCTGCAAATCTCATTTCAAATGTTATTAATTCATCCAAGAAATCCTGTTGAACCACCTGTGACTACTCCTGAGTGTGAAAATATTTTGGAAATTGAAACTCAGTTTATATGTGTCATTCTAATTTGAAGGCATAGCCTGGCTTTGATGCTCTTTGTCCTTTTAACTCTAAAACAGAACCAACCAGGACACAAGAGCTGAAAACCAAGTTACAGTCAGATCTGTGCTGCAGCTGCTACTGCTTCTTTGGTATTGTGCTTTTCTCAAGAGGACAGAAAAACTGCAGCAATTTGTATCACACTGTCTCTGTTACCCTTTAAGTACTGCTCAGAACCTGGGCCACCTTAGGCACTTGTATGATCCCCTGCCTTTCTTCAGGCTGATAGCCAAAAGTTGCTGAATTGCTCATTTATTGTCAGACAATTAGGTACCAAGCACCATATATTGCTGCTGCTGCTGCCAATCCAAACAATAGAAAGGGGAAACAGGTGGGCAGGAACTGCAAAACTTTTCCATTTTAAAACCGTTTTGCTGTGGACACTAATTTCTCATTCTGCACAACTGAAGATATTGCTTTCTAACGAGTTTCAGTGTAAATGTTTGATTTTGTTGCTGTTGGTTCACTATTGGTACTGAATAATTTGTATCAGTTCTAAAAAGCCAAAGCTGTAGGTCTGCTCAACTGTGTTTTTCAATGTTTGGGATCTTTTTCAATGAAAAAATCACTACGTTGCCAAGATTCTTTTCTTGCTTAACTTCTATAGTGTTTATTTGCTTAACTTCTATAGTGTTTAGTGAAACGCTCATTGAGCAGCATGTTAAAATAAACTTCACCCTTTCCACTGTGACTTCAAACAGGAAGGTTGGGATTAGTTACAACCATAAGCACAGGGGAGAATTTGTGCGTTAGAAAGGAATCAACCTGGTAAACTTAGATAAGAGCACAAGTCACTGCAGTGTTATGCTTGTATCATCATTATGAGTATCATTCATAAAGTTTTCAACAGACTCCAATGTTTTCAGCCCCTCTGTTAAGATACTGACTGTCTTCTTTTCTAGCTCTCACTTACTGAAGACCTTGGGTTGACTCAAAAACCACCAGCTCGCCCCAGCTGGGCCACTTCCCAGCCCATTGGGAACCTACCTTACAGAGAAGCAGCAAAGACCCTCGCCCAGAGCTCCCAGTTCAATGCTGGGATACGACCTGCACCTGTTCGAGCTCCAGTGCCAAAACCACGTGCCAGAGAAAAGAAAGACTTCACAGAGACGACCGCCACATGTCCATGTCAGTATGCTGCGTGCGCTCTGTGAAAGCTATCGCAGAGGTTGATAATACTCAGCTTTTGTGCACAGAGGGAAGGAGATAGAGCTGTGGAGGTATATCCATACGTGAAGGAGAAGGCAGTCATTCTGAATGGTGGGAATCCAGATGATGGCAATTTGCTGCCTCACTAGAAATTAAACATCATTATACATGCAGTACACACTGGATCCAGGTCTTGCACCTTTGTTGTGGCAATCCCCACTATCAGCACAGCCCTGCCAAAGAGGACTTACTGATACTGGTGGATGGCAGCTGGGATGAGCCAGCACTCTGCCCTTGCAGACCAAAAAGGCAATCATAGAATCATAGAATCATAGAATCATAGAATCATAGAATCATAGAATCACCAAGGTTGGAAAAGACCTAAAAGATCACCCAGTCCAACCATTCACCTATTCCCAATAGCTCCCACTAAACCATGTCCCTCAACACAACATCCAGCCTTTCCTTGAACACCCCCAGGCTCGGTGACTCCACCACCTCCCTGGGCATCCATTCCAGTGCCTGACCACCCTTTCTGAAAAGTAATACTTCCTCATGTCCAGCCTGAATCTCCCCTGCCGTAGCTTGAAGCCATTCCCCCTGCTCCTATCACTGATGACACGAAAGAAGAGGCCGACCCCCAGCTCACTACAGCCTCCCTTCAGGAAGTTATAGAGAGCAATGAGGTCTCCCCTGAGCCTCCTCTTCTCCAGGCTGAACATTCCCAGCTCCTTCAGCCTCTCCTCATCAGCCCTGTGTTCCAGACCCCTCACCAGCTTTGTTGCCCTCCTTTGAACACGTTCCAGGGCCTCAATGTCTTTCTTGCAGTGAGGGGCCCAAAACTGGACACAGCACTCGAGGTGCGGCCTCACGAGTGCTGAATACAGGGGAACAAAAAGTGGGCTGCATCCAAGGTAGCATAGCCAGCAGGGTGAGGGAGAGGACTCTGCCCCTGTGTGCTGTGCTGGTGAGACCTCACTGTGCCTACATGTGGAATCCTCCTTACAGGAGAGATGTGGGCCTCTGGAGTGCATCTAGAGGAGGGCCCCTAAAATGATTCCTGGGATGCAACACCTCTCCAATGAGGACATGTTGAGAGAGCTTGGGCTCTTCAGCCTGGAGAAATGAAGGCTTCAGGGAGCGGCCTTTTGATTTCTAAAGAGGGGCTGTATGAAGGGGACAGGCTCTTTAGCAGGGTCTGTTGTGATAGGACAAGGGGAAATCGTTTTAAACTAATAGAGGGGAGATTTAGACTAGATATAAGGAAAATATTTTTACAGTGAGGGTAGCAAAGCACTGGCAAAGTTTGTCCAAAGAGGCACTGGGTGCTCCATCCCTGGAGATGCTCAGGGTCAGCATGGATGGGGCACCCAAGTGAGCTGTTTACTGGTAGCCCTGTTTACTGCAGAGGAGTTGGACTAGATGACCCTTAAAGGTCCATTCCAACTCAAAAGATAGTGTGCTTTAGATGACAGACTTACCTGTCTGTCATGACTGTCACCTTGGTGTTGAACACTGTCACAGGCTTCACATTGGTTTAATTCACTGATATTCAGTAGCAGAGCAAGAGATCTTACAGCATCAATGGCAGTAAGCTCAGTACAGAGTCCATGAACTCTGCCATGCCCTGGATAGATGCCAGAAAGGACTGGTACTGAGCATTTAGAAAATTAACGGATAAAGCAGTCAACTCCAGGGGCACAACAGCTGAGAATGCAGCTGGTCTATGAAGGCTTTCCAAAAATAAGGAGGCATACTGACACTGTCAAAACCAGTTTCATGCCATTTCAGTCTAGATCTGCCTTGGGCAGTTATTCACTGAGACCTCATCTTTCAGTATACCCAGCATCTCCATATAGGGAAGAACTCATAAAGCTTAGGCTGGAGGGTTGCAGTCCCTCGTACGAAGCTTCTGCAGCAATACAACATTCATGTTAACGAGGATCCTCATCCTGAAGTAGTACTGCATGAACAGAGCCTTAGGAAGGCTTCACGCAGGACTGGGGCCTAGTTAAGAGCTAAGCATAGATGTGGGCCTTGGCTGTGTCACCGGCTTCCACCCTGCGGTCCAGGAGACACTGAGAAGTATCTCTTACATCTGGGAACAACATGTGGTTTATTGTTGTCAGAAAGGATGTGGGGCATGAAGTATGGGGAACTTCTGCAGGGATGTGGTTACCCAGTTGTTCTTAAGGATTCCAGATGAGTGGAGAATGGAGCATGTTGGGATGTGCAGCATCCTGCCTGATCTCTGTGTCTTCTACATGATAAGAAATGTTAAACCTGTGCATGAGAGAAGGGCTTTGGGTAGCAGAGAGCAGGCAAAAATGCAAGTTCCCTATAAACACCATTGCTGTAGTATAGAAACTATTGAGGTAAATGAACCTGAGGGATTGCATTTGGATTACAAATTACTTGTTGTGGATAGAAATGGCTATGTTTTACACTTCACTCGTAAGGGAGAAGCAAGAGTATATTTATTGATATAATATAGATACAACATAGTGATTTAATAGCAACAAGATTTGAGATGACTGGAGACACTTGATTACTGACTGCACAGAGGGACGAGTTAAACAATATGCAGGAGACCCTTCCCCCGAGTCACAGAGCTCAGAGTGGAACCTCTTGCTTTCTAAACTCCTTGAACCACAGAGGGAAGCAGCCAGATGTGGCTGATCCACTCCTCGTTCCAGACTTGATCAATGGCTTATGTGAGGAGGTTCTCCCATTTGCAGGTTGTCAGAAAGGCAGGCAGGAAAAGTAAAGATGTAATGAGATGACAAAGGAAAACAGTTCATTCAATCCAGATTTGTAGAAGTATTTGAGATATTAAATGCTAATAAAATCCCAAGGTTTGGGTTGTGTACTTAGATATGTTTAAAATGTGGAATGTCTGGCTAAATAAATGACTGATTCTCATGTTTTTTCTCCTTCATCTAGCCTCTCCGCAATGTGAGGCTCAGCCTAGGCTCATTCCTCCATCAGATAACAATCTGGTACAGGCTAAGGAAGGATCTGAAGCATCTATCTCAGTGGAACAGAAGCTTACCTGCCTGGATGGGGGAGACAACAGCAGCGTTGCCTGAGTCATAGACTTTCATTTACTATACCATGCAAATAAATAGGCATGCAAGTCCTGCATCTGTTCTCACTTATCTCTCCAAAAGAAAACTTGACTGCCTTGCTGCCAGTTTTGATGTTGGAGCAATGGCTTTGTACTTTTTTGGAACTGCAGCAGCTGATGCGATGCCTCCTGCCTGCCTTTAAGTCTCCTGGTCCAAGCTGCAGCAAGTCAAATGTTTACCTGATGTGCTTTTCACCCTGGCTTCATATTGCTGGTGCTATAATTCTCATTTTCTTTGGGGTATGTTGCTTCTGCAGAATTCACCTTGGCCTTTGATAACCCTTTTGAAGTTGCCTACTAGAGCTGCTGGACACTCAGCTTGCCTATGGCACAGGGACATCGTGGAGCACATCCTATGGCCAGAGCTGCTTTGTTCTGCTCTCACAATGAATTGCAGAAGCTGCCTGTCTGTGGGCAGTGAGGGGATTGTGGAGGACAAGTGAAGACTACTGGTCACCACTGGCCACCTGGGTGATGTAAACTGTATCCCCCTCACAGCACAACCACAGAGTGAGTGGTTTACAACCAGTATTTACAAACAATGTGTTCCTTCAGTTGTAACCTCTAGCACCTACCAAATCACCTGGACTGAAGAAAGCATCGCAGCATCCAAGGAAAAAGCCTTCCATATGTGAGAGAAAGGAGGCTTGGGGAGAATGAGGAAAAGGCTACTTAGTGCTCTACTGAAGTCAGAAATTTTCTCATGCTGTACAAGGCAAGTCCATCATTTCAATCGTGTTAGTGAGAATGAAGTCAAATCCCACCCTCTGGATTACAGCATTGCACAGGGCACTGCGTAGGGAGCTGGCACTGGTTTAATTATTTACAGCATTATTTTCCACAATTATGGAAATGTAGCAAATAGCAGTTTTTAACAATAGGGGGACCAAATGCATAACAACTGTAACTTACTGCCTTATAACCCAGACAGAGCTGAAATAAAACTGAAACTTTGCACACACTAGGAAGGGCCACAGCATCCCCATGAATTCTCAGCATTTATAGACTAGAAATCATGTCTTGGAGAAAACACCAGCCACTTTGTGATAAAGATTAGGAGAAGTCTTCCAACTCTGTGAACAGATTATCCCATACCATGTCATATGAGGGTGTCAAGTTTTTTGGCACAAGAGACAGTGGCCATTCTCAAGACCAAGCACAAAGCACCATAGGTTTTAATGGAAGGGACAGAATCTGCCCGTCAGGGCCCTTGATCGAAAGCCTCAGTCACAGATTGGCTAATTCAGCACATCTCTCTCTCCCTGATGTTATGTTGTGTTTCTAGTTGCTCCATATGCTTGGAAGAGGGATTTCATCTCAACCAAAACAACAGCCTAAAAGCTCTTCACCTCAGAAATGATTAGCTGAAATATGAACTCCCGATGGGGAGTTATTTTCTTTCTTGAACGGTTGGACTGGATGATCCTTTGGTCTTTTCCAACCTTGGTGATTCTATGATTCTATGATTTTATGATTCTATGAACACACAGGTGGCAGTCAGCTCTTATATCATCAATTATGCAAGAGACCAGAACGACTAACTTAGATTAACACAGCTAACTTTTGGGTATGTGAAATTAGGTGAGGTAAATCCCACTCAAAGCATTCGCCAGGCATTTGCTGGTATTGCAGATCTCTCCCAATAAGTCTTTTCCCACGGAAAACCAACTTAAAGACTGCTTCACAGATGTTTATGGCTGGCTTAAGTCTAAATGGTAATGCCAGCTCCCTTTTTGTCTCAGGAACTGTGAAGTTTCCTGGGGCAGCAGTTAGTGCTTTGTTACAAACAGCAAATGGCCATGCAAGGAAATGATGTAAACCTCCATCAATGGTGTTTCTTTTCTCACCAGTGAGCACACTCATTGGAAATATAATGTTCCCAAGGTCTGTCAAGTCTTGGAGCTGAATGCTCAAGCATTGCTGCAGCAAATAGTGCACCTCAAGTGCTCACTATAAGCTCAGGCTTCTCCAGTTTAAAACACTTCTGTATTCGTGATGTTATAAAATAACTAAGAGTAACATTCTCCAGGAAACTACCAAGCCAAGTGGTCCATCCATGAAGTAACAGCAGACCTGCATTAAGCCTGGATGTAACTTCTACCAATTATGGAGTTGGACTCTGTGATCCTTATGGGTCCCTTCCAGCTCGAGATATTCTGTGGTACTGGAATAAAATGTATGTACTTACAACATACTTTACAAACGTGTCTGAGGTGGCAGAATACATCAGACTCTGAAATGGACAGAAAAGAGAAAGAGTTCTCCACCTGCCTTTGTGGCTGTGCTGCTGCCTGCCCTCAGGCAGCCCCATCACCTTCTGTGCCCTGAGCTGCAGATCTGCCTTTATAATGTGTTTCAAGATATGCTTGTTGGAAATATCCAAGTAATGTTTGTCAGGACGGTATCTCTGATAAAAGCAGATTTCATTCATGATTGCAATGGTGGCCGTCCCACAAGCAGGAGCACCTATGGACACATCATGACAGCCCTTATACCCTGTTTGCTCCCCCTTCCTCCCCCCTCCCCTGTTTCCCCACTGGCTGGGTACTCCAGCTTCACAATCTTCACAGAAGATCTTATCAGAAGGTTGACATTTCATAGAATCATAGAATCACAAGGTTGGAAACGACGTACAAGATCATCCAGTCCAACCGTCTCCTCATCACCATTTCCACATACCGCTAGCAACTGCATTTCCACATACCATTAAAAGTTGCATTTCCACATCATTTCCACATAGCATTAAGACAGTTTCTCCCAGTGCCTTCAAAACCCACAAATCAAACAATACAATTCCTCAACTTCCACAAACACCCAGCACTTAGTCTCATGATTAGGGCGCTCAATTATAAAACTGGTCCCATTACTCCATTTACGTTCCTGGTTTCTCATTCAATATTTCCCCTGGCTTACCAGCAATGTTTCTCCAGTGAGCCAAAATACAACCCAAGGGGTCTTCTCATTTCATTTTAGACACCCCTTGTTCCATAACACCCTCGTACACGACATAACATAACATAACATAACATAACATAACATAACATAACATAACATAACATAACATAACACTTTCACGACATAAACATTTAACAATCACAAAGGCAGTGACAACAATCCGTACAATTCATCCTCAGGATCCTTCCTCTCTGCCTCCCTCCAGAGCCCAACCTTCCCTCTGTATTCATTTCCCACACTTGCGTAGCTGCCAGCCTCCTTCTCCAATAATCAACATATCAATGATAAACATCATTTCCATCCATGAGTAGAAATTAGGCCCTAGAAATTGATCTCGTTGTTCTGCTACACTTACAGGATCCTCAGTTAAGGAATTCTTCTTGAAACTCCTAACTCCTCTTCTAGTAAAAACAGCAGGCATTACCATACCCTATTTCCCTTTGACCTAAGACTGCCCTAAGAGGACAAAGTGAAGTGTTAGTAAGGTTAGCATTAGAGAAAGGAAAACTCTCCAGGTCCCATTCGCATTACTCCAGCTCCCTCAGTAATCCAGAGCGCATCCTCTCTCCAGGACCTGCACAGACCAGCAGCACCCACTCTCCTCCTCTGAGAGCTCATTGCCGCTTGCACTGCTTTAGAAATTGAAGGGGGGGGAAGTTACCTAAGGGATCCATTTATGATTTTTCTGCTTCTCTTTCCCATTTCCTTTGAACTTTGGCTCCTTGTGAGGAACATTTCTTTACTTCTTGCACCCATTAAGCGACCTAAGCCAATTCTGTTTCAGAAAAAGGAGTCTTACTGCTTACATACAAAGTCTGACAGGCCCAATTTTCGTCAGACTCCTATTTTGGTCAAAATAATGATTTTCCCTGCAGCGGCTCTCTACTGTATACAGTATTTAAACATCTTTTCCCTGTTCTTTTCCTAGTTTGGGGACTATTTTCCAGTTTTGAAGCACTTCTCCCAAGGGGCTGGCTATCTCTAGGCACCACTCCGGGGACCTTTTTCCCCTGCTCTCAGAACTCCTATTCCCCATCCCTCCAGAACGCTGCCATGAACTCCGCAGCTCACAGGTTACCGCACTCTGATGCTCGGATTTTGGCCCAGTCCCTCAGCAGTACTACACTCCTATCTCTCGGATTAATAGGGGTTTACATTTGCTATTTACTTGTTAATTTATTTGTTATCTGGTGTCAGTCAGCAGCCATCCTGTTGTTTCCAAGCTGTCTCAGTGCTCTCCTTGCCGTGTTGATATGGTGATTTTCTTTAAAGTCATCATCGTTAAACAAAGAGCACTGGGGGATGATGTCAGGCCTTCCCAATGTCTCTTCAGGCGCTTCCTTGGGCAGGCCATCACTTGTTCTCTGGTTTGCTCTCGTGCAGGATATTCTTGCAGTGTGTAGGACAAAATATACATCTATACACCTATATACAGAGTGTGCGTTCCTGGGAAGGTTTGTCTAGAGGATAAGTGATGTAAACTTATCAGAGATCTTCCCCAAGTTAAGTAGAAGGACTCCCAAAAAGAACTACGATAGCGGAGATCATGAAATAAAAATAATATTATCCAATTCTAACGCAGAAACAACACTTGATTCCCACATGCTGATAAGGAATTGCTAAACAAGAACAGAGCTATGCCTGTGTCGTTCCTTGTAGACGCACATTTCCCTGCACTGATTGGTATTTCCAGATCCGGTACCACTCCGATTAGCCACAGTGTTTGATTAAAGAATTGAAAGTACCTTTTAAACCCCACAGGCCAATGAATCAGCGTTGAATTCCACCAGTACAAGCAAGATCAGAATGTGAGCCCTAGGCCCTGCTCAGATGTGGGGAACAAACCCAAACATGCCACCCTCCTCTTACCCAAGGTTTACTATGCATTTCTGCCAAAAACTCCACCTGAATTTACCTCATGCTCTTTGCTGGAAGCAATGGCAGCATTCGCTACTGTAGTTTGGCTTTGTAGCCAAAACAAAGCTTTCCTAATTTTTGCTCTTCCGAGCTAAAGAAACAGCTTTGTTTGGGAGAAGGAATATGTGCAGCTGAAGGTGATGGGAGCTGCAGGTGGGAGCACAGTCAGATCAAAACAGGACTTTTGGAAATATCCAATTCATGTGCTAGCCCCCAAAGCTGAAAATGAGTGAACCTTACCGAACAGCTGAGCTTCAGCAGCAGCTATAGGGCTCTAACAGGCTAGAGATGGCTACAGAAAGTGTGGAGACCTCAGGGCAAATGGAAAGAAGCTGATGATAGCAGGTAACTGCATGATAAAAAGTTGCTGTAGAGGTGGATGAAGCTGATAACAGACAGAGAATGCAGCTCCCTTCACATATCATAGAATCACAGAATGAGCTGGAAGGGCTTAAAGCCCACCTAGTCCCAACCACTGCCATGGGCTGGTTGCCCCCTACCAGCTCAGACTGCCCAGGACCCCATCCAGCCTGGCCTCGCACACCTCCAGGGACAAATCATCCTCAGCTTTTCTATGCCACTGCCTTACCACCTTCTGGGTGAAACATTTACCCATAACAACTAACCTAAATCTCTTCTCTTTTAGTTTAAAACTAAAGTTAGACTTAAAAAACTAAACTGCGACTAAGATGATCAGGGGGCTGGAGCACCTCCCCTATGAGGACAGGCTGAGGGAGTTGGGCTTGTTCAGCCTGGAGAAGAGAAGGCTGCGGGGTGACCTCATTGCAGCCTATCAATACCTGAAGGGAACCTACACCCAGGAGGGGAGTAAACTCTTCAAAAGGGTTGACAACAGCAGGACGAGGGGAAATGGATCCAAGTTGAAGGAGGGAAGATTTAGGTTGGATGTTAGGGGGAAGTTCTTCACAAGGAGAGTGGTCAGGCCCTGGAACGGGCTGCCCAGGGAGGTTGTGGATGCCCCGTCCTTGGCCGTGTTCAAGGCCAGGTTGGACGGGGTCCTGGGCAATCTGATCTGAATGTGGATGTTTGGTGGCCCTGCTGGGCAGGGGGGTTGGAACTACATGATCCTTGAGGTCCCTTCCAACCCGGGTGATTCTGTGATTCTGTGATTTAAAACCATTACCCTTGTCCTTCCATGCAACAAGGGGATGGGGAGGTGAATAGTTGGAGTTGTGTTGGTGGCTCTGTGAGCTAAGGGAAGGGAGAAGACTATGAGAATCAGCTTGAAATCAATACCCTTCTCCCTTCCAGCATGCTTAAGCTGATCACCTTACTGTTTGTATAGCACAGACATCCTACCCGTTGTGTGTTCATGGCTTCTTGAACAAGAGACATCCTATGCTGTCTCAGATAAATGCTGTAGTGTGTGCAACACCAAGTAATTTTTAGGAAGGAACTGCTTTCATGACAACCCTTGATAGTGTTTTCACATCTGAAATATCCTTTGCGGCACAGAAGCTGCTGCAGTAGGTTTGGGGAAGATGATGATAGGAGATGCATGACTGGATAGATGTCCTGTAACCAGTGGGGATCCACTGGGACTGGCTGAAGTTGTGGGTGCCCCATCCTTGGCTCAGCCCAAGGGCAGGCTGGATGGGTCTTCATGCAGCCTGGGCTGGTGGGAGATGGTGGGCAGGGGTTGGGGCTGCGTGGGCTTTAAGTTTCCTTTCAACCCAATCCACTTTGGGACTCCTTGATAGACTCATGCAAAATAGCTGTGGAACTCCTCGCCTCAATTAGTTGCAGACGTGGAAGCTTATGTGGGTTTGAGGAATTACTGGAGGTTCCTAGAAGGATTTCACATTAAATCACAGCTGTGGGCAGAGGCATAGGTCTGCCCACCTTGTTACCTATACAAAAAGAAAGTGGTGCTTAGAGCTCACTTGGCTTCATCTAGCACCAGTCATGGGGAGCACTGACAGCACTGATAATGTAGGGAGGTGTCCTTGAACTCCAGTGGAGGAAACTGGTCCTCAGTGGGACCTCAGATAGACAGAAGCCCATCATGGTCACAAAGCACTATGTTAGAACTATATAGGAACTCTAAGAAAGAAGGGGACAGATTTTTTAGCAGGATCTGCTGTGACAGGACGAGGGGAAATGGTTTTGAACTAAAAGAAAGGAGATTTAGGCTGAGTATAAAGAAGAAGTTCTTTACAGTAAGAGTGGTGAGGCACCGGCACAGGTTGCCCAGATGGTGCCCCATCCTTGGAGAAACTGAAGATGAGGCTGGATGGGCTCTGATCACTGATGGAGCCGTGGGTGTCCCTGCTCATTGCAGGGAGTGGGACCACATGGCCTTTCAAGGTCTTTTCCAACCCAAACCATTTTTGTGAGTATGTGATTTTGAGCACATTTCATAGGAGGATGTAGGAGGATGGGGCTGCAAGAGGCGC